TTCCTTTGCCCTGACCTGAGCAAGAGCGAGACGCATCTTCTCAAATTGGGATTGCTGTGGGTAGGCTTCGGAAGGTTTTTTAGCGATAAAATCCATTAAGGGGATTATACAGCTTCCGATTCGGAATGTCGCTGGCAGAAAGTAGCAATATCACGCAATCAAGCATCACGCTTGTGAAGATTTTTTGCTCCAATGCAGTCGATCAACTCTTGCGCGCAATCACACAAGTCTGAATTAAGCCTAGTGGGTTCTAGGCTAGGATTGGCTCTTTCTGCGCAGCACATGCAGCAGCCACATAAGCAAAATATGGTGGTGGAAAGCGTGGCTTGAAGAATTTATCACGCATGGATTCTCCACCTAGTTGTTTGTTGCGGCAACAGCGCTGGCCATCATGGAACTCAGCTATCAGTGCAGCTTCTAACATCTCGAGCATACCTAGCAGCTCAGCCGTAGTCACTTTGTGAATGACAGCGAAGACTTTGAAGTTCTGGCGCAAGTACCCTTCCATTCGTTGAGCCGGATTAGACGTAAGCCCAATCTTGAAAACACAGAGTTGTGAACCACCACAGTGCTGGCGGGCATCATTGATCAACTTGATGCAGTGCCATAATATCTTGGACGCTGTGCACGTTTCTGGCAGCAGACTCATGCTGAGGCCTGCGATATTGTCATCTTCTCCCTCGTATTTGCCAGGGCCTTGATGCGCATCATCGGGAGGCTGTGCATCATGCTGGAAGCTTTCAGACGAGCCCGCGTCATCATTTTCTGAGTCGCTCCATGGGAAAATGTCTAACTTTGGCCGCCCCATTACGGTTCCTGTACAGCTGAAGCAACCACATGGCTACAGAATGAACAGGATTATGTCTCGTAGCAACGCATGATGCAGAAAGCGGTGCGCCCCACGATTTGAATGTGAGCATGTTCGGCGCTTAGGTCAACACCACAGCTGGAGATTTCTTCATGGCTGGGGCCCCGACGCCACGGGCATATTTCGTCACAATTAATTGGGCTTGTTCACTGACGGGTGCTTCCGCGTGACTGCCTGTCCAGGCAGTAGTGGGGTGCATCTTTCAATTTGGGATCTTCAGATAAGGGCTCACGGTGGACAATGGAGTTACATACAATGTCACCGAATGTTAGGATGCGGAGGGCTCATCTTGCAAGATTGGGTTCAGATTCCTTCAGCTTCGGATCCGTTTCACTAATTCTACGTTCTCTGTATTTAAAATTGGGCTTAAACTAATATTAGCTGTAACTTTACCTGGGTTGGGAGTTGCCTAATGCGACACTGACTTTGAACAACAAACTTTTTGGCGCGCTCAGTCTCGCTCCTGGGATCCAACTTGAGAAGGCAGGCTAGCGACTATTTGCTTGCAGCCTTTCGTTATTGAAAGCTGCATACACGTGTGTAATCAAACGTGGAGGTCGATCATTCAGGACTATATAGCTTAACCATTAGGAACCCCCAATTCCTTCGATCCTAATTAGGGGCTCAATTAGCTCTATATAGCTGAATAAACTTGGGTGTTCCTCCATATGTCCATGCGAAACGACGAACTGCGCACGCTGCGGTGCATCTCATGCTATCCAAGCTAGAATTAGAAAAACTGAAATCAACAATAGAGTCAGTAAAGGTTTCCAAGCTGGCTTTCGCAGCTCCACATAATCTACGGGGTTTTCATCGCAATGCTTAAAGGGAAGTTTGCCCGAACAAGTAGCAAAACACACCGCACGTGCGAAAACAAAATTATGATGAGTGCGTCGCACTACTAAAT